CAAGTGGGAAGGAATGGGAGAAGTAACGGGTTGCTGCCGTGCTCACTGGATGCACACTGTCCCTCTCTCCTACTTACCTGGTGGTGGAGAAGCCCCACATCCAGAGCACATTAAACACTGGTATTACAAATGCTATTTCACATTCCTCATGCTCTTTCATACATGCCACCAGCCTCAGCTTCCTCAAGATGATTTCTGTCCACCTGTTCTGTTTTTATAGGGACATGCCATCATGTTGCCTCTGTTTGCTCCTTCCCTTTGTCCTGTTTATTGAGGTCTATGCCTGTTTTTCATCTGAAGCTTACAAAGAGTCCAGGTCTGAGTCATGGACTAGTCATACATTGGAACTGAGCCTCCTACATTCCCTTGGCATTTATTTTTGGAATGGGGTCTGCATGCTAGAACACTATGGCTAAATATTAAATAACCACAGCTGTCGTGGACAGATTCTTAAAAAAAGTATTCAGATGAAACCAAATCAGTTTTTAGTAATTCTCATTTTTAAATTAAAGGCAATTCTAAAACCAAATTCATTAAAAAGAATGAAAATTCAAACATTTATTTTAAAAGTTGCAGGCACCAGAATGGAACATTTTACAGAATTAAAATACATTCACAAAATACTTCATTGTCACCAAAATTACAGAGGTTTGGCCCAACATTGTGCCTGAAAAACGTATATGAGCAGTACTGGCAGATGCTCTCCTACCAGATTTCAAAAGTGAGTAACATATCTTGCAGTAGTTTATGTTTCTTTCAGACCTAAAACAAATAATGTGAAAACAATCTAAGCTTTCATGTCTTTATGCTTTTACTCTGGTTGATGTAGAGAACAGCTGAAAATGTCCCAAGCACACTGAAGACTTAGAAACTAGCAAGCAAACAAAAGAAGCCCAGAACTGTTAATATGACCATTGTCTTTACTGCTGTTGCTGTATTGATTACTTAGGGAGAGGGGTTTCTCAGCAATTCATTGCAGTGTCTGCTCTTGTGCTTGCTCACTCTCTCCACCCAAGACTTCAAGTTATGTTGTCCATGGCTATGTTGCCTTAAGCAATACTGGCTCCCACATAATGCTGCTCTTGGGCCAGCAAAACACTTCTTAGAGCAGCCTCAGGCCAACCCACAGACCTTCAGCTGAAGAGCTGTCGAGAGATGACTCCAGCGCGGAGAAGATAGGTGGAACAAAGTTTACGAAGCAGTTTAGAGAAAGAAATGTCAGGAAGCAACAAAAAAGGAAGGTTCTGAATCCTTTTTCTTTTTGAGGTAGAAGTTCTCCTCCTCACATCTGAAGCTTACGGGAAGATTTCTGGTTCCTGGCAGATCTGGTTAAAAAAAAAAAAAATCTAAGTATGACGTCTGAGCATACGTGTAATACAAGTTCTAATAAGATTCTGATTCATTACTTGCCTTAACTTCACCAAACTCTTTGCTAACAACAACAATAGAAAGTAATACTAAACATAGTAACCTCCACATTTTTTAGTCTTAGGCACCAATCCTGTCTCCAGTGCTGCAGACTGGGATGTATCTGGAGGACCCAGTCTGCTTGTCTCCAACAGACATCCTGGGAACTCCCTGAACTGGAACTTTTGAAAAGCATTATTGGTAGAAGCAAGGGATCTACTAACTTCATCTTTCTAAATAGATACTGATAGCAGATTTAAATTTAGCATACGTGCAGAAGCCTTTTGCATTTTTTTGGAGCCAAAACAGAATCAAAAAGTACTTTTTTGTCCTCAGGAGAATAAAAAAATAAGTGAACAAATGGTATGAGAGGCAAACAGAAATGCTAACTCGTAGATGACTTGCCTGGTTAGTCATTTTCAATAGATGTAACAAGGGTGATAATCTAAGAAAGCACTGGATGAAGTACGGGTACATTTTTGCCGGACCTTCAAAACTCATCTGTTTAAACTGGAGGGGTTTTTTGTTGTGGGTTGGTTTTGTTGTTTTCGGGTGTTTTTTTTGTGGAAACTTGAACTAAGAGGTAGAAGCAGTGTAAATTTATTGCAAATGAAAGCTTTCTTTTAGCCTCTCCTGGGCACTAACCCTTCAGATGTCCTTAGATTTAGATTCTCAAAGATTTCATTTCCTATTTCCTGGGCATTAGAAGAAGGCAACAAGGTGAGACGAATGAACTCAAATATCTCTTAGAAATCAAACAACTTCTGAAGCAGAGATGCAGAAGTAAAACAAAATGTACTTTTGCTTCAGGGTTTTTCTCTACAGTAGTTTTTTTTTTTCCTTTTCATTGTGGTCCCTTGTTTCCCCACCCAGACAAAATGCAGCCATGACAACATGGAAATCCCCTGAGCAGTACAGCTCTGATAATAAGATTGTTCAGGTTCAAGAAAAATATTATGTCTGAAAAGACTTTTTCTTTTAATTTGCTCCAACTGAAACAGGAAAAAAGAAAAAAAAAGATCAAAGTGATAGCCCACTCAATTATAAACAAGACAAATTTAAAGTGAGAAGGTGTCATTTCTGGATAGTGGTCAATTTGCACTGGAGAGCCCTCCTTTAAAGACATTTCTGGCTGAAAATGAGGTAGAAATTAGCCTAAGGGTTTCTAGAAGGATATGGTATTGAAGAGTATTAAGAAAGGTGTTGAAATTCTTTACTAAACTTCTCTAAAGCAAGCAAGGGGTAGGCCTTAGTGACGTAAAGTCACGGGGGCCCAATCTCACTAATTCAAGTTTGGCTGCAATGAGCTTGAATCAGTCACAGAAAACTTGGGAGAGAGAGACGAGGACAAACTCCTGCTAAAGTTCCTCCAGCTGACTCAGAAAGAGAGTGTTTCTTGGAGGGATATTATGAGAATTTGGCAGTGACCCAAATAATTCTGTAGGTGAAGTCAGTCTCTTGACTGAGGGTCAGTCAGACCATGGTGGTGCCAGCGTCAGTGGCTCCGTTCCCCCCACACCATGTCCAGCTCCTGCTCTGCTTTGCGTGGGTGGTCACTGTGGCCTGGCAGATCCCTCTCCTGTTTGTGGGTGGGAGGTATCATAGAGGTCTGCCAAGCAGATATCTACCCCTGCTACCCCCTGGGCTCTTTTTAAATTCAGTGGAGAGAAATAAATGTATCTGGAGGTTTAGATTTCATCTTTTTAATGTCTATTTTAGCATGAGTTGAATCATGCTCTTCACTGGCCAGACAGAGGCGCAGCATGAAGAATTCTAACATAGCAGGACACCCTGTAAATGCCTGCACACTGGCCAGTGAACCCAAACCCATTCTTCTGTGTCTATCTAGGCTTAGTGCACCTTCAGGGAATGCTTTGGTGGTGGAGCCCCAGGGTCCTACTACAAGGAGGGGCTTGATGCAGATATTTGAGATGTCCATCTTCCAGGCAGTCTCCTTGAAATCTTGTGGAAAGAGGGTCATTTCTTCCCATTAGAAAAGGGCAGGGGAGCCCAGAAGCAACACCTTGACAACCCACTGCCCCCAGCTTTGGGTAGCAAGTGACATTGCAGGACAGTCCTTGATGTTCTGGCAAGGCCACTCTTCTGGACATGAGTCCTGAACTTTCATCACTTTGGTGAGCATTTTGAATTATTTGCTTGCAAATGAGAAAGCTGATGTGGCCTCCATATTGAGCCTCCTTATTGTAATGTCATCACTTTTCTGTTTGCTTGGCCACTGTTACTAACTTTGCCCTCAGTTTCCTTTACGCCTCCAACCTAAAGCTTTTTTTGGTGCAGCCAGGCCTGTGCCAGAGCTTGCTCTTCTCTTTCAGGTCTTCAGCTCACTTGTAGTTAGCCACATCAGTCAGCCGTGTGCACGGCTCTGCTTTACGATCTGGTGTGCGTTGGTGTTTACAGCCACAGAAAGTGTGCAAAGGAAATATTTAACACCTCTTTATCTCTCGTTTTCTGCCTTTGCTTTGTCCAAAGCCTGAACAAACGTGAGATGTGCCGCTTTGTTCTCAGGAGGCAGGTTTTGCAGGATTAGTCTTTTAAATCACGGCTTTTCTGGGTCAGCGCTGCCTTATGCGGAACTTCATAGAATCACAGAAGATTTCAGGTTGAAGGGACCTTTGAAGATTATCTAGTTTCAACCCAGCTGCCAGGGGCAGGGACATCTTCCACTAGACCACTTTACTCAAAGCCCCATGCAACCTGACCTTGAACGCTTCCAGGGATGAGGCATCCACAGCTTCTCTCGGCAGCCTGTGCCAGGACTTCATCATCCTCGTAGTAAAGAATTTCTTCTCTGTGTCCAATCTAAATCTACCCTCTTTTAGTTTATAACTGTTGCACCTCGCCCTGTCACTACAGGCCTTGGTGAATAATTTCTCACCATCTTTCATATGAGCATACCTTATATATTGAAAGGCCACAATAAAGTTTCCCTGGAGCCTTCTCTTCTCCAAGCTGAACAATCCCAACTCTCTCAACCAGTCTGTGCAGGAGAGGTATTCCAGCCCTCTCATCATCTTAGTGGCCCTTCTCTAAAATTGCTTCAACATGTCTGTGTCCTTCTTATGTTGGGGACCACAGGGCTGAATGCAGTACTCCAGGCAGGGTCTCAAAGAGTAAAGAATCGACTCCCTTGACCTGCTGGCAGTGCTGCTTTTGACCAATAGTTAAAGAATAAACAAAAGCAATCACACTTAATGGTTCATACCTGGAAGATTTTTCTTCCTTGGACCTGTCCACCTCTGTGGTGAGGAAAGTGGATGCAAGGACTAAACCATGCACTCAGGGAAACCAGCAGCACAAATCACAGTAGCTGAGTCAGGAGCACTGTCCATAAAACATGCTCCCTTCTCTCTGGACTTTACCAGGTTTGCCCAAAGAAGTTGACAGGCCTGATCCAGAAGGTCCTTAGTTTTGAAGTGGGGAAGCCAGTTTCAAAGTAAAAGCTCAGCGATTATCTTCAGGCTGGCTTCCTGCCCTCTGCCACCAGCCATCCTCTGCGTAGGCATGTTTACATTTCCCCTCGCCTGAGGTCTCTCTGTCGGGCGATGGGTTTGCTCAGCGCCGGGTATAAAGGCAGAGGGTGTGGGTTTCGCACGCACATGCACTGCACACATGCAGCGTGCTCAGAATGACACAGCCCAGTACAGTATTGAGCATTTTTGCCATGTTTCTTCACACCACATTTGGGGAAAGTGGTTGCACCTCAGCAGACGGTGATGGTGAGTCATTTCATCTTCATCTTTCCACTCCTGTGTGATCTTGAAAAACCTCAATTAAGAGCTCCAAAATGCAACTGCTGGGTTAAATATGTTCATGTTTTAACTTCCAGTCTCTCTTTCAGTGCCAGAACTTGAGGTGGAGGTGGAGCTGGAGGATACCTACTTAATTTTATCCCCAAATCTGCTGTCCTTATAAATCCATATGAAATAAGGGAGATCATAACTGTATGCACAGGGCATGCAGGGTCAGAGCTGTTAATCCTCTCTCGTTGTATCTAGTGTTCATGTGAGGACATATGCCTGGGAGGAGGGAATCACTTCACCCTTCTGCAGCTCATGGTCACTCTGAGTTGCCATTGGAGAGGGGTAAGATTCTGGCCTCTTTTTCTCTTTGCAGTTTCCTCCAAATAAAATGTCTCCATGTAACTCAAACTTGACCAAAACTGTTCCACTTTTAAGCCAAACCTTTACATTTTCTTTAAGCCGTTACGTGAGGTGTGTATCTGAGGTATAGTTTCAGTCTCCCTCATAGTACAGCTGATGCAGCAACTGTGCCAGGGGGTTCTCACAGCCCATCACTAGTAGCCTTCATTCCTTACTCAGCAAATAATTATAAATTATTGTAGATTTCATGATCTCATTTAGAGAAGTGAAAATTATTTAGCAGCATCAAGATCAAATGCAAAACCCTAAAAAGCAGCAATAAAACTACTGTTTCAGGCTGCTGTTCCTTTTCTCAAAAGGGAGATGAAAAATATGATTTAGAGATTCAGTCCCAGATCTGCTAAATTCTTATTTGTCTGATACTAAACAAACAGCAGTGACAGAGTTTGCGCACTATGCCTGAAGGACATGAACATTTCCTAAGTTACTGGTAGTTTAGAGCTCCATTGTCTGGGGACAAAAGAGTTTTTGGGTTTTAGAAAGAGAATGGCTGTGTTTCTATGAGTTAGGGAATCTCATTTTTCCCTGGCTGTCCTGTACTGCACGTGTAACATATGTGTGTGTAGACAATTGTACATATATACATAGATAAGATATGCATGACAGGTTTTTTAATTAAAAGAAAAGAGGGTCTGGCTCAGAATTGCATCTAACCACCCTGGGTTTTTTATTTGCCTTTTATCCATGCAATCTGCAGCTGCTTAGAGGCAGCTTTGGCAAGCAGCTATGGTGATGAATGTTCAATGCTAGTGATTTATTGTTGGTGTCACTGAAATCTTCAGGGCTTCCCAAAAGCAGATAGGTTCAGACCTTTACATGTTTTGTCACTATCTCCAGTAAATCATAATTTACTTAGAATTAAAGACAAATAGATTCAGAAAATCCCTACTGAGTAATTACCAGCTTTTATGATTTCTTTATGAATCTCCTAGGTTTGGCCAACAAATTAATCAATCCGGGGTAAAATCACCCATGACAGATGCTCGATTTTCACTCTTTGCCTTTCTGACTCACCCCACCTTCTGACAAAGTGCCACCCACCGACTTGGGCATGAGCGTACGCTTATGGGTGCTCTTATGGGCACTCTTATGGGCAGAGGAGGGAAAAGCTAATAATGGCAGCACTTGCCTTCTCCTCTTTTCTGAGCCTCCCAGGCACTGCCCCCCAGCCTGGTAGAAGTGATGGAGGCCCCCAAAAGGCCTGAGAGAGCTACAAGCAGAGCTAAGAAAGGGAAGCCAGGGAGAGAGGCAGGAGGGCACGGACAGGGGGAGTGGGAGGAAGCAGGTACGTGGGCTGTGGTGTCCCATGGCTACAGTGGTCCTGCTACCCACACTGGTATGGTTTATCCAACCCATATCGAAACTGTTGTGATTAAAATGAGTTCTGCCTGAATCACATCAGCACTGAAGATCCCACATTATTCTGTCCATGGAGAAAGTCGCTTCATTGACTTTGGAAATTTGGCCACTGACTCTTCAGTGCTTAACAGCGCCTTCGGTTTCTCACGTTGTTGTCAGTCCTGGCGGCTTTATAGCTTGAAACTGAAGCACATCCATAGCCTCTGCTAACACTCTTGGTAAAGGCTCCTGAGATTCCTGCTGTAGTTTGAACCATCCTGTTGGATGTTGTCCAAACCCATTTCTGTGAAGGACCTGTTGTGGCTGTAGCTATGATAGCAGATTTTATCCCAGCAGAATCATTCCCTTTCAAGCCCTGCCTTGATTGCAGCAGAGCTGGGCTCGTGGCTCTGCCTCATCTGGGCTTCTCAAGGCAAATATTGTAATCTTGTAAATTTTTAATTGAGTGAAGAGTCCTTAGCAGTATGAGTCATGTCAGAGTTATAAAAGCCATTCACATAGCAAACACATTTGCGCATGGTGGTTCTGAGGTTTAGGGAAGAATTATAACTGAAGCTGCATGCATACTTATGTCAGACAAAAAAATTAGTCAGCCCATGGAAAAACCATAGCAGAAAACACTCTTGAAATTGCTTACATCACACTATTGATGAGATTTAATTACCATATACTCTATGGTTAGTATGTTATTTCCATGAATAAGGAACCATGTAACCACAATGTGGAAGTTCAGTGTCAAAGAGGTAAAGTAAGCTTTCCTTCCAGTGTGGCACCAAAGCTGTGGTGTGTTGGTTAAGCCTTAAATGGTTGTTTGAACTGCAAGACTAAATATTTATTTTCATTTTGCAACCAGCCTGATAGAGAATGAATTCATATTTCTGTAACTTTTCAGCAAAGGAGGAGTGAGCAGCTGAAAAATTTTTTTATGATAAGCCATTTATTAATAGGATGATGAATTAATCTATTAAGAGGATGATTATCTGTTTTGTGTGTTTATGTAAAATCTGGTTTATGTAGTTTGCATATACAGAGAGCACCAAGCAGTCTTATAGAAAGGAAGTTAGTCATCTTAATCTCTAAGTTTTAATATTGCCTTGAGTATACATAAGCAAGTCTCCTGGCAGTTGCAAGTAAAATCTTGGGCTTAAAATGTGACATAACTGTGCATGTCAGCTTTGGGTGTATATATCTATATGAAATATGGAGGGTTTATCCATTTTATAAAGATTCATTTGAGCTCACTCGTTATCTCGTGAGTTTTGAATATACATACGTTTATATGCCTGCACTTCTACCCACAAATATGCAACTGTATGTGGTACATGTTTCTGTACATGTATGTCTGCCCATGTGGCTGCATTGGACAAGGCTCTCAGCTGTGTGAAACTGCTGCAAGGCTTACTCTAGTGTTATGCTGACTTCTGTGTCTCTCTCTTGAATACAATGGTCAAACACTGAGGCTTTCTGTGCTGCACAGGTTCTCCCTTCAAAGCAGCAACACTGGTAGAAGACACTGCATTCCTTGTCCTTCAAGGAGATTTGGGCTCCCAGAGCTGCAGTGAGAAGACCAGTAATAATTTCTCATCACCGGTTGCTCATGGCGATGAATGGCACTAAATCTTAGCTCACAGGGCATAGATCTGCCTGTGGGTTCTGCATTAGTGCAGCATTAGATGCTCCCATCCTTTCTGCTCCCCACCATGGGTGCTGGTGGCAACAGTCCCCTTCGTAGCCTCTGCCTGCACTGCTTTTGTGTGTTTCTCTGCATTCCTGAGTGACTTTTGAATTTCTTCTCTTACTCAAAACCCCTCAGATGCAGCTCAGCTCTGAGGTCAGAAAGAAGCACTGCTGGTGCTCTTGGCCTACATTTTAAAGCAATCAAATAACTCTCCTCTGCTTTCTCCCTGCTGTCGAACCATACGGCTTTCGGATCTTCGGATATGCTTCCATGCTGGACAAGGTCTGGGTCTCCCTGCACGCTGTCAGGATTGTCCAGGGTTCATAGGACATCACAATTTGGACTATGAATCACAGTATCTGAAGAGGTGATCACACCTCAGTGATCCAATTGGATTACAGCAGAATTGACCATCATTTTTTCTGGCAGGGATTTTCCATTGGAAACATTTCAATGTTTTGGTGTTTCCCCATTGTGTTTTTGAGTATTTACTCAGAGGGCAGTGAGGCACTGGAACAAGCTGCCCAAAGTAGTTGTGGATGCCCGAAATCTGGAATTATTCAAGGCCAGTTTGGAGCAACCTGGTCTAACGGGTGGCATTCCTGCCCATGGCAGGGGGGTTGGAATGAGATGATTGTTAAGGTCCCTTCCAATCCACTCATTCTGTGATTCGATTCTTTTCTCACTGCATCAGGTGCCCCACATGGCAAGGACATATATGAGGAATGGGTAGCAGAACACTGAGTAGGGGATCAAGCATAGTCCCTGGACACAAGGAAAAGGTTTATATGAAAGAAGACAGAGGCATTCCTGCCCCAAGGATCCACTCAAGGGGTCATGGCAATTACCCTTTTCCCATCCACTCCGCTATGGTGGATGAGATTTCATGTAGTGAGGCTGAAGTTGCAGTTTCTGTTGGAGAGGACTCCTCTCAGAAGCATCAGTTTTTGCATCACTGACCTTATACCTGTCAAGTGTAGGACTCAAGACTTACGCTCTTAGTCAAATCATGATTGTGTTATTACTCATTGAAGCAAATTGGCAGGAAACCACGCATTCTGGAAGCAAGTCTGAGCTTTCCCTCTTGAGCCCAAATTTGTGACATTTCAGAAAACTGTTCAGTACAATCAAAATGGGGCTTAGTTGCCAGTTGCCTCATGGCACCAAAATACTCTTGGAAGTGGGTGGGCTTCACTGTCATGGAGGGAGAGCAACCTTGGAAGGTGCAAATGGATTTAACTTCATTTTAAACAAGGGTTTTTTCTTCTTACTAAACAGGTGGGTTGATCCTCTTCCTTTTAGGCAACTACATGAAGCAATAACCTCCTATACAATGCAGCTGCAAATCAAATAAACTCTCAGGTTTGCTTCAGTAACATCCTGTGAATCTCTCCTTAGGGACTCTTGGAGATGATGAACCAGACAATTTTGACATTGATTGTTTCAGCCAGCTGGACATTAAGGACCCCTTTAGCAGCCTGACCTGCAATTTTACTGAGCTGCCTTCTCACAACACTAACTATACCCTGTCTCTGTGGTAAGTGCTGTCAGTCTGTCCTTTGGTAAACTTCTGGGAAGTGAAATCCTGAGCACTAGTGAGTCATGTTGCCACATGCTGGGAAACAGGGACAGCAGAGCTAGACAAAATTCTTATTCAGACTGTTTTGCCAAGTTTGAATACTATATTCAGTAAGGAAGAAGAGTTTACTGAAACAGAACATAACTCCCTTATAAGAAAAAAAAAGAACTCGAAGGGTCTTTAAAGGGGATTATAACACTTCCTATAGTTCTATCTTGCCTCTGTTGCTCTGGAACACCTGTAATTATGAATGCAGCCCAGCCTAAACTGAGAACTTTTTCGTTTAAATTAAATGATATTTGAAAAAACTCAAACCTAGCCTTTATCAACTGAAAAGTAAAAAATGTTTGTGAAGACACAGATCCTTACCACAGAAAATTCTTTAGCAAGAAGGTTAATTTTCCACATCACAGGAAATGTCTTTATCTAGGCCAAGACTAAACTAAGCTATTGTCTTTGGACACACAGACATGCAAAAAACACACTAGAACAAGTATGCAAAACCCCAACATTTACCAAACACATCAGTCATCTCCACTTCTTATCGAGGCCTTGAAACTCTTTCCACTTTTTTTTTACTGTTGCACATACCTGAAGAAGCTCAAATTTTGTTTCTTTAGCATACGTCTGCTCTTCCCTTTTCCTGAAAGGGAAAGTTCTGTGACAGCAAGCAAAAGAAGTGGATTTTTTTGTAACTCTTGTTATTCTAATCATTAATTGTTTCCTTTTTTTTTGTTCCCCCCCCATAATTTACTAGAATTTTTCTATTTCAAGGGATTTATTATGGATTTTGGCTGAAATTTTATGGCAGTCCTCAAACATGGGAGCCACAGAGATGAGAAAACACAGCTCTGAAACTGCCATATGACTCCTTCATGGTCAGGCTGACCGTTGACCCTGTATCTGCTACCACTTAAATCAATAAGAAATTTCTCTTTATCTTCACTGAGTACAAAACCTATTGCCCTATATTTAAAAACAGCAGCAGTAAGATATTTTTTAAAGATAGAAATATTTAAACACATATATCTCTAATTAAATAATACATTTTTTTCTTTGAGAGCTCCATGACTCTTAATGTGATTCATATCACTTGATTATTGTGCTTGAAGACCACAAGGAAAAACACTCTCAATCTCTCAAACTCCTTATTTGCATGGCATTTTCTCTTATTTCATACAGAGTCTCACTTCAGTTGAAGTGAAATGGGCAATCAGGATTCATCCCTTATAGCAAGTAGTTAATTTATAGTAAGACTGAGAAGAAATTAATGTCATATCACTTTGGCCAACAGTACCAAGGAAGACAACAAGTACACGTGCAACAACATGAAGAAACAGGAAGATGCATACTTTTTACAGTTCACTGATATACTCTCAAATAGAGACCTTTGTGTGTTCTCTGAGACAAAGAGAAGGGTCTGCAGGAGTCTGATTGTGACTCACATTGGTAAGACACTTAACATCTTGGGTATTTTTAAGATATAGGGGTTGTCAGGGGAAAAATAGCCCAGCAGAAAGCCTAAGCATCAATCTGGATGACATAGAGGCAGTATAAAGGAGTGTCTTAGCAGGGCATGTAGCCTGGACTGGGGTGTTGTCAGTGTGGTGTTTCCCTTGGTTCAAAGCTAAACAAGATTAACCTCTGTTCAAAATGTGCAGCTGAACTCTGTCTTATTGTGACACTCTACCTAGACCTGGGCATAGATCAAATCCCCTCCATGGGTGAAACAGCTGTTCCTGAGTGTAGATAAACTGTCAAGCAGGGACATGTTGTTCATCTGTTACTAGGGATTATGCAGTTTTGGGACTGACCACCCCATGTATAGCATGAGCTCGGTGGCACAGGGACCACAAGGTTGCAAGATCTAACTTTTCACACCTTGCATTGTGGTGCATCCTGTTGTCTGAACAAAGTGCACCCTGCACTGAGAACCCATGAATGGCCTTAACACCAACTGGGGACCTGCCTGAGCCAAGGAATAGGAAACTCAAGAAGTGTCCTTAGAATCTACCCCTCTTGGGAACTGGTCTCATTCCAGGTCTGCAGCCCCAGTGGTTCCTGTACCCAGGAACCTTTGTTGCCCAGTGCCTTCCTCCCAGGTGGGTTTTGCAGTGGGGGCTCTATCTCAGAGCACTGGTTAGAGGGACTGAATTTCAGGCCTTCAAGCAGTGCTACCACAGGGGTGGGCCATGCTCAGGAATTGCTTTCAAAGGCTAAATCCCTCATAAGCACCTTCCCTGCCAGTCAAACTGCTGCTTCAGCAGGCCAAAACCAAGCCCCTTGCAGAATCAGGGTGTAAGGATGAGCTGGAGCTTAGCATACCTGGCCCAGGACAGCCCTTGCTTGCTCAGGATAGGTCACCCTGGAGGGGCTTTGAGTTGAAGTGCACTTTTTTTTTACTTTTCAAAATCTATTTTCTAGTAACATTATTTGACTCCTGTTGTATCCTGGTTTATTGTCATTTGCAGTTAAGCCTGAAGTGCCATTTGCTATAAACATCACTTACCAAAGGGAGGCAAATGAATATCTTATTCGTTACCGTACACCACACTCAGGGAAGAAATACCTAGAGGGCAAATTAATGCACCAAACAGCCTATCGGCAGAAAGAAGGTACTTGGAAGGTAAGTGATGTGTTGCTGTGGTTTGCACTAATTTCCAAAATTAAACATTATCAAAATTACCAGTAGCATGTAAATATTCTCAAATCTGCATTTCTACAGTTCTCCAGCTGAAAACTTGGAAAAGTGCAATGTTTGGCAGTTGTAAACTTCATGAGTCAAAACAATTTGGGCTAGCAGCACCCTTCTCAGTTAGACACTTCTCTGGGCTAACAAAGTTTCATTCATTTAGGTTTTGCAGTGGGAAGAAAAGACATAGTGTGGTGAAGCAGTCTAAGTGTTTGGATGGTTTGATTTTTGCTGTGGTACTTTTGCTCTTATTTTCTGTGCTCATCAGCCAGTAAAATGCATGATTTCTTTTCTTATTTAGCAAGTTTCTTCACATTCCCTTTTTCACTGAGTCCTTCCAGGCTTTGGGTGTGGCCCTGCAGCTCTCCCACCCTCAAACTCCTTGAGGCTACCGCTGCTTGTGAACTGGGTCTGGTTTGGGCTGCCCAGCTGCAGGGACATCTGTGTCCCCTGTCACAAAGGCAGCCATGCAAATACAAGTCACGATGTTTGAAACCATGGGCTACACCTGTTTTTTATGGAGGGAACACAGTGTTGTCCACAATTTTTACAGGGGGAACAAATAGGATTTGTTACACAGTGTGCAATAAGCCAATAATGACACGAAAGAGAGAGACATTGATTATTTGTTTCAGAACTGTGCAAACCTGGGTGGCTGGTGGTATTCCACAAATCAAGCACCCAACTATCAAAATTTTTAACTATTTTATATTACCCTTTTACTATATTACTATATACTATATTACTATACACTATGTTACTATAGATTTTAGCAAACAAAAGAATGTTTGTTGGCTACAAGTTACATAGTTCTTTTATTAATTAGTATTCTATCTTCTGTTGGTTAATAATTCTCTCGCTTCTCCTGTTAATTAGACTGTGTGTTCAATCTTTCTCTTATTCTAGGTCCGTGGGTTTCTTGGGTTGTGAGTTGGTGGTCATGATCTGGTCCTGCTGGAAATAGCTTTTATCCAGCTGGAGCTAATTTCAGCACAGTTGCTGAGTTGTTTTTCCCAGTTTCTTCCTTATCTTGGGAGTTCTGCCAGATGTCCTTGTGGCTGTAAATTCTGCATTCTTTGTGTCCACTATCAGTGGTACATCCCAGCCTTTGTTAACCTCCTTCTGAGATAATTCAAACATGCCAAGCCCTAAGTCATAACAAGGCAATTCTATCAACAAGTTTTTCTAACACCTGGGCATCACTTAGAGCTTGTTAGCTCTAAGTCTGTTTCATGGATTATGTCTCCTTTCTTGTTTATTAGGCCTGAAAATATACAGAGATCAAAGGACAACCTTTCTTAAGAAAGTTTTACATACTCCACATTTTGCAATAACAGGAGAACTGTAACTAGAAGGAGAAAAAAAAAGGCGGGATTCAGGCAGCAAAATATATTGAAATGAAGAGCACCAGAGCTGTACTGTGGGATTTCAGCTTCAGAGTTACCTGTAACTGCTCTTTCACAAGTTGTCTTTTTATACTGCACAAATGTATTTTTTCACCTTTCTCTGTTCTGAGCCTTCCTAGGGAAGCATGTATTTCCCACTGCAGTGTCGACAGAAGCAAAGCACAGTTGACAGTCCCAGCTGTTTTCCAAAGAACTTTTACCTAGCATTTGTCTTCTTGTCAATACTGTCTGGCATACCTTGCTGTTAAACTAGGTTAATGCCAGGTGTTAAACTAGGTTAACACCTGTGTAGTAACAAAAGGCACGGAACAAACAGCACAATATTGCGGGGATGCACCTGATCTCACACATTTTTCTGAAACTCAAAGATAATTCTCCATTGTCTGCTGGAAAAATAACTGGATTTTTTTGTGTGTTTAGACAATAGAATCGCCACACGATCACGTAAGATTGTTGGGACAAAACCTCGAAAATAATGCATCGTATGAGGTGAAAGTACGTTCCCAGCCCAACGGAAAATTTTTTAAGGGCACGTGGAGTGAGTGGAGCACTTCCAAGAGCTTCAGGACAGCAAGAGAGCAGCACTCCACAGAGAGCTGTAAGGGCAGAAAGTGCTTTGGTCTACCTGGAGGAAAGCAGAGCTGGGGGGTCCTGGGCTCCCTGGACACCCTCAGCAGCAGGAGGGAGAGAGCATGGGGAGGGAAGATCCCACAGCCACAACAGAGTCAGCCCTCACAGACACCAGGCACCCCGAGGAGGCGACTCGGAAAGCAGCTGTATTGCTCTGGACTGGGGCTGACTCTCCACGTGAATTTAAATCTCACTCACGGGCAATAAATTCAGAGGAGTTGCTGCTATAGGCGCAGGAGTGGGTGGGTGCAGAGGGAGCTGAAGGCTGACTCTCTTTGCTGCCAGCTGGCTTGCAGGAGAAGGAAGAGCTTGCACTGAGTGTTTTGAGTAAGGCACAAAGAGCAGTGAAACATGACCTGTTTCAGGGCCCTGGATTTGTGTGCAAACATGGCACTTTAATCACAATCACGACACCGGCTAAAATCTCATCATCGCACTTGTAAGTGTGAATAATCCTTGTAGTCCTTTGGGTCCCTTCAGTACCCAGAGGCACCTCAGCATTATGTGGGAAGTCATTTCAGTGCTGCTGTCAGGACACAGCAAGTGGTGGTTTCAATACACTGGAGGAGATAGCAGACTTCAAACTGCTTTAATCCAGTCTGGAAATCCAGTCTGGAGCTCAGCCAAGTGCTGATACTCTGGCAGCCTACCTTTTTCCTCCTCCAGGGAGACAGGAGAAATGGATCATTGCACCAGTCCAATGATAGGCAAGTGCAATTCTTGGAATTAATTCCCAATTTATCATCTGAAAAGACATCACAGTTACAATGGCTTAACAGTGAGACATTTACATGCATTAGCTGATATTCTTTGTTTTCCTTCAGATAGCACCGTGGTCATGATTATACTCTCCATCCTGGGATTCATGCTGTGCATTGTTATGATTGCACTGATCATAATTTTTTGGGAAAACAGGTAATCTAACTCTCTTAATATCAGAAAAGGTGTTGGAAGCCAATCCTGTTCTGACAGTCTTACTACTTTCCCTGCTTTACCTGTGAAATATTCACTCTCCATCTCTGGACCTCTCTATCAAGCTGAAGGGAGGCCAAGAGCAGAAATGGGCAATACAGGAGACAGTGTTGGCAGGCAGAAGATGAACTGCCACTTTGAGCAGAGTTCAGTCTTGAGCCCAAAACACTGGGACTTGTGCAAGCCAAAGTCACCAGAAAACATGTATAGAGTAAGTATCCCGCAGGAGGCAGATTTTACTCAAAAGCAAAATCCAGAGCAAGAAAGCGACCTGCAGGTTTTAGTAAAGTCCCAAGAGGTGTGAAAACAGCATACCAAGGAGATTGACTTTTTCCCTTTCACAGGCTGAGTCAGCGGGGTGTTTGCTCTGCAGCACTTTCAGAAGCAGCAGGGCAGAGCCCTCTGCAAAAACAGCTTGATGGTGTCAGACACCAGCTCGGCCAGATCCACATCCAGGCAGCCATGTGGTGAAACCAGGCGCCACATCCTCCACCAAAGCAGTTACAGCAGAAGTGGGGCTGGAGATTGATTCATTACCCAGGAAGTCCTTTGTCTGCATTGGGGTTTTTTTATATATTTGGTACACAGCAGCAGACAGATAACTGTAAATACAATTTCAACCACACGGCTATATATACTCATAGGGCATTTAGAGCTGACAAATTTAAGAAAATGAACAGATATGCAGATAATCTGGTGACACTAGAATCTAAAGTGAAAAAATTCAAGTTTAAATATAGAAGATGAACTCCTTGCAAGGCAGAAAGCCCAGGACTGTTCAATGGCTTTCAGAGCAGCCTGTCCATGATATCCACCTCAAGAGAGGTGGCTGTGTGGGAGCTGCTTTTTCAGGATATCATTTGGGCTGTGCTAACTTCTGAGTTAAACATGGGGTTTGGCCTCAGCCAAACCATGCCAAGAACAATTTTAATAATTAAACATTTTAGACACTGGAGTTATCTGCCCTAGCGCTGTTTTATTTGCAAGTACAGATGTAGCTTGAGATTTCTATTTCTTGCATTTTACTGTTGCTGGCAACCTGTAGTTCTCTAACTGTACTAGAAGCGTTGCTTATGTAAAACTGCAGCAAAAACAGTTGAGACTCTTGGATCCCAGATATTTCCATGTTAAAAAAAGAGGTGTTTATACATGCCTGTATATACATCCACCTATAGAGACACTTAAATAAAATGAAATATATATTCATATACACATACAGTTGTATTTATATCATTGCAACATTGAATTTCAGTTGGACAATATTGTCTAGATGCATCCTAGCTGGGGGTATGCAGCAGAACAACATGAGAACTTTATTAACCAAGGAGTAAAAATAAGGCCTGTGAGACAAGGCTACAGTACAGATATCTGAGGCACAAAGAGCTGGCCAAGGAGTAGGACAATATGTTGTTCTTTCACTTATGTAAACATGCAGCAGCAAATATCAGCAAATTTTTACTTTAACCACAGCATCTTCTTGCACTGGCAGAAACTGGTTTCACCACACAGAGCCCTGTTAACACAGCTAGATGCAAACAAGCTCCTTGCCAGCACAATTTGCTGCTTTTCCAGTACTTAGTGAAGTGTCTTTCTTTAACTATGACAATTTGTGCACTCAAGAAAACAATGGTGGCCTTTACAACTCCTCTTCTCCTGTCTGTTTTATTCTGTGACTTTTCTGTTGTTATTATGGATAATGCGACCCAGTCCTAAAGCTTTGTGAGAATTAGTACCAATGATGCAATATGAACCTCTGATACCTCAGCATATCTCTCTTTTGCTGCTTTTTGTCTGCTGTTGCTGTTTCAGGATCAAGCCTGCTGTATGGCCAAACCTTCCTGATCATAAAAAAACACTGGAGAAACTATGCAAGAAGCCAAAAAACGTATGTTCTTCCATTGTTTTTTTCCACCTGAGTATAGAATCTTGGGAACAAAACTAACACTCATGAGAGACAATACGTGCATTTTCTGCATTAATTAGGACATATTTCAGAAATTCTGCTACATTTCACTGAAGAGAGCCCACATTTGCACAGGCAGATGCCAGCCAAGGGTATGGAAATAACAGACAATTGAAATAGTGGCTGAGCTTCAACTTATACAAAGTAACTACGGAGGGCTTGGGAACTTGATATATGAAGAAAGGCTGAAAGAATTAAGGTTTTTGTATAGAAACTGAATATAAGGAAAGAATCTTTCTCGTGAGAATAATTAAACATTGTGTAGTTTGCCCAGAGACAAGGTAGGTTCTCCTTTGGGAAAATGTTCGAGGCTTGGCTTGATAGGGCTCTGGATAACCCAATCCAGGTCACATTTCTCACACAAGGTTGGACTCAGAGGTCTTTTCCAACCAAGATACTTTGGTGATTCTGTGAAACTGTGATCATAGGGCTGGATGGGGACCTTTTGCAAACATCCCTGATGGTGTCCACGTACCCTTACATGGTCAGCAGAATTGTACATACACATGCAGTACATGAACTGCTCAGCCAGTTAAAAGCCAGATGGGCAAATGCTACAAACCATAAGGTGTGGGTTTAACCTGTTGCATTAAAACTGTATGTCTAGTTCATTTTTTTCACAAAGAAAGTCATCAGTGCTGTTCTCTCCAGCTAGTACATTATTAGCATGTTCTTAATTTAGCAGGAGGTCTAAGACAACTCTCCCACCCTCTGTGCTCCCCAATGCAGGGATTCCTTATGTGTTTCAGAAAGTCATGGCAAACTTTTACTTCCTCTCTGCTAAGTTAAGAAGGTAAAACTTAAAAACAATTGCCTGGGTGGACATACTCATTCCTGTGAAATGGCAGGCATGCAACAGATGGGTGTGTCAGAAAAGTCTCTGAAACTCCAGTTCCCACCACATCATATAGAGTACGAAACACTGTGAAGCATAAACATGCTGCCTTCAGGAGGACACAGGATAGATCTAGATTAATAGGGAAAGAGATTTTCAGCCACGTGATAGTTTATTCTCTGCTAACCTACTGTTCAGTGTGCTCAAGGTTATATCCAGAGTTAAAGAATAGCCTTTTAAAAACAAATAAATTATCAATGTACCTTTTCTCTTAAGCTATTACCCACTGTTAACTAACTGTGCTGTTCCCTTTGCCACACAGAACTTTGATATAAGCTTTAACCCAGAGAGTTTTGGTTATGTTCATATCCATAAAGTGGACGGTATTCGGGCAAAAGCTGAACTTGAAAGTTTTCTGCAGCCATCAATTGCTCCAGAGACAAGCCTTACAGAAAAATTCGGGAAGGGATCAGGCCTGAAGATGATACCTGTGATGACAGACAAAAGCAACCTAAATTTGTCTGTGACTTATGGAGGCCTCTGGCCGTCTGAGGCCCCACACAGACTCCTGGGCACAAGCCAGTTTGCAGTCACGGAAGGAAACTGCAGCTCCAGCACGTATGAGGTGTGCCACGGCAAGAGCGTGCCCCTGAACAACAGTGGAGGTTCCAACCTTTCCTCTGCTCCTCCCCTGGATCCCTCTGGCCAGCCCAGTCCAGAGCCCCCACATGATGACACTGTATCCCAGATGCTGCCTAACAGTGAAATGAGATCACCAAACAACGAGGAAGCCTATGTAACAATGTCCAGCTTCTACAAAATTCAGTAAACGTCGCAAGAATGACGACATGTCTTTTTTTTCCTCTAACACAAGCAGGACACTGAAACTTTCTCTTTTGTTTTCCTGTATCCTGTGAGTTCCCGCCTCCTCCACTCACCCTGCTCACAGTGCAATGCTGTATCTGCAAGGAAGTGAGTTCTCCTTTGTTCCAGCTAGAAGTAGCCTAACTTCAGCACTCAGTATGCTGCTAGCAGTCTCCGTTGCAGCAGAAACTAAATTTAATTCAACCTGACTTTAATCTTCAAATCTGATTAATTCGGAGCAACAACAGTGCAGTCCCAGATGAGGACCACAGCATGTCTTGTAAAAGTTAATGAACTCTTCTGTTACTCTCTTGGTTACAGAGCTATGCTCTTATTAATGCCTAAGCAAGAAATATGGCAACATATTTAAGTTAAACAGAACCAAATCCCTTTTAAACAGTAGTAACTTGAGGGTAATTCCTCTGCAGTCAGTGTAAATTCATGAGTTTGCAAGAAGACAGTAAATCAGAGTCACTATCAAGCATTAGCTGCCTGGGGATTCAGGATCTTGAACATCACAAATAGATTTAGCTGAGTCCTCAGGAGAAATGATACATGGACCCACTTTAGAAAAATGTTTCCTGAGGCTGATTTAGTTTGGTTGTTTTTTTTAGACACAAAACAAAGCAAAACTCTACATGCCACTGCTTTTTGCTGTTGGTAAAGATCTGCCCTGGAGCCAATTACAGGATCCACGGGTACTTCTAACACTTTTAATGTTTTCAATATTTCACGTGCTAACTATGTAAATCAAAGTCCCTTCTCTTCCTAGAAACTGAATTAGGACTGTAAAATGCACAATGCTGTCTTTCTCTGCAGCTCTTGTGCAAGCATTAGTCCAGCATGTAAGTACTTTTCAGGGCAGAGGCTGAGCTGACCATGTTTGTTTACTAGCATTATTACCAATGGCTGTGACTGCATATGAATACTATGAATTTGGATAGGCAATGTTCTCATGCAACATCTGACTTAGGAAAATGAATGGAATGTCATGGATTCTGCCAGTGATCAGAAGACCTATTTTATTTTTTAAAGTAACTTGTAAATTGCCAGGACATAGTATTTAGTTTGTTGTTGGGGGGGGAGGGGGTTGTTTGTTTGTTTTTGGGGTTTTGGGGGCTTTGTGGGGTTTTTTGCATTGTGACTTTTTTCTTCTTTACAGTATCACATTTTATTTTATTTTTTTTTTACATTATGGCTGAACCACTTCACAGTCCTCCTTAGATTCTGTACATTGTGGAGCACGTGTTTGGAGATAAAGCTGCTACAGCCACATGATTGCATGACAGCAGAGCAGTGTGGCCTTGGGACATCCAAACTGCTTTGTTGCCCTCTGGGATTCAGGTTCACCTCACTGTGCAGTTTCAGTTCCTCTAGCTGTTTGAAATTCTCCATTATCAAACTGTATTCACATTTCCAGAGTCTAAGGGTGAAAAGAGTCCTCTCTCATGCTCAGAGCTGCTCGAATTTGTTCTATCTAGTAATGGTCACAGAGATGTTGCAAAACCTCAGCTGATTCCATCTGCCTTTGCCAAGACAGCTTTGTGCCAGGTGAACATCAAAATTGATCAGATCACTGAATATATCTTGTGGTCAAATTTCAAGAAGATATGGCAGAGAGTGGAGCTTGCATTAAACTCCATTGCTTGAATCAGAATTTTATTCTGCAGAAGACAGTATAAGACAGAAAATTCTGGACCATATGAAGCCAAAAACAGCCCTCCCAAGACAGTACTCCACCTTCTTCACCTCCACTCAGCACCAGGGAAACCTTCGAATGGGGAGAACTTATAGTCACTGTGTATAATGGGGCCTCAAATTTGGCTCAAAGCATTCCAGTGACATTTTACAGAACAGTTTTTACTGCTGTTTATTGCTGAATGAAGCACTGGTTGATGCAGAAGAAAAATGATGAAAGCCCTGGACATTCATTTGTTTTACAACGCTTGTATTTCTTTTTCAAAAGAGCTGCTGGTCATGCTCATACTGTGTAGACTTGCACAGTGTGATTGTAGATAGACACAGACTGTACTGGAAAGATATCTTCTTCCAGCAAAACAGGGACAAACAAAAAAGGGGATAGAAGAAGAAGTAAAAGCACATCAGGAAAATTCCCTACCGTATGTGCTATGCTTTCTTCAATTTTATAGCCGTCAACAAATTTGATGGGTGTATGCAGATATAATCACTTTTTGGACAAAAAAAATAAAGCCAAATTTGCACCAAAGCCAGAAGCACCACATTGCTTGTCTATTGCCAGGTTAGATATAGGACAACACTTTATTGAGTAGTTTCCTTATTCTACAGGACAGAGCTTCCCTACAGCTGTTCACAAACTCCCATCTGCCTCAGTATCCACACAGGAGTATTGCTTAGCTTTCACATACTCCATGCACTTTCTTCAGTTCAGCATAATCTTCCTCCTCCCCACCTTCTACCTTTGGTGCTCTTACTCGGCTGCACACCCAAAAAGAAGTTGGTGATCCTGGTTTGTATGTAGCTGCCTTATGACACAGGAGCTGCTTGCTCCTTTCTCTGCATGTGCCCAATGGGCTTTGACAGCTCTTCTACAGTTGTGGTACAATACAGATGCTCTCCTATCTTCATTTCTCCCCTTATCTATGTGCAGCTCATTCCACTATGCAAATGTCTCCTAGCTATACACAAATAAACTTGGACTGCTGTCAGTTACAATACTGAGTCATGGACTAATTTTAATGATGCTGAAAAATGTTAATTACATCATCCCCTGCTTAAATTGTCAGCTTGTTTACCAAATATACTCCTCTTGTGCATGTTCATCAGACAGGCTGAAAAAACATAAATGCTCTGTGTGTCAGAGCACTAAGCGTGGGGAGGCAGGAGAATTGCTTCTGCCAGGGTGAAGAGATGGTTAAATGTATGTGATGTGAAGTCTAGGCCATGAAACAAATGGTGTAGTGGTGGCTTGACCTCCACTGCCACAGGGACACGTGCCTGAATTTGGTACGTTTTTGGCAGGCAGAAGCTGACCAGGAAGCCATCCCTTTTGTCAGCAAGGGACCTGGCAACGCTGACAGGGTATTTCTGCAGGGCAGGAGTGCAACCCCTTCTCACCTACTTAGCAGAAGTGTTTATTGAGTCGAAGACCTTACTTTATTCAGCAACGCTGCAGTGCTGGAGCCTGGGGAGAGCAGCAGTTGGATTTTAGACAATATGCTTTTGAATCAAGCTAGTTATCTCCGTAGTTGTGGCTTTCTGAAACTATCCTTCAAAACCAGCTGAAACGTCACATAAAGGATTGAGCTTCTTGCATTGGGAAACAGTCCTGCTGCTATGTCCTCAAAAAAATAATATAAGAAGAGTTATTCTGGTTATTGTTAAATATTGACTGCATAAATTAGATGTCACAGTGAAATTAGATTTGTCCAACATCAGCACCATCACAATGAATGTAAAAAGCCTCAAAAGTTTGTCAGACAACAAAAAAATGAGACACAAAGCAGAAATGCATTGATGGAAATGTCTAAAGGAAAAAATCTCTGCCACAAAGTTGGAGCTTCTCTAACACAAGCTAGTATTTGGTTTTCCAGGAAGTGTACAGAGACTAAAAACAAAACAAAACAAAACAAAACAAAAAAACCACACACACACACACACAAAAAACCCAAAACAAAACAAAAAAACCCCGAACAAACAAAAAAACCCAAACAAACAAAAACCACCAAAACAATCTGTACATTTTGAAATTTAAAAAAAAATGTATTTTTTGGCAAAAAACCCACAATTTCAATGAAAAAAGGAGATTCATCTCTGGAAAATAAGCACTTCTCACATTTTACCACAAACGCTGCTTTTCCACAGAAAAACAGGTTCCACTTAACTTCCACAATACCTTGTGCTTCCTTTCTTTCTCATTTTTTCCTACTTGTCAAGACATTCAAAAAGTCTGGATACTGTCCCCAGGCTTCAGCTGCAGCTCCTGTTGGGATCAGCAGCAGTGTTGTGAGCTGGGAAGAAACCTGCATCCAGATTTTGGCAGAGACGGGGCTGCCGTGTCTGGGGTGGCTGAAGACCTTGTGTCCTACAGCGCTCCCTCCTCCTGCAGTCGCCGTTAGCGTGAGAGTGGAAATGCCTCTGGAGCCAAAACCAGTGCTCACTTCGGAATCACGGAGATTTCAAACCCAGCTGAGGCAAACCAGGATGGTCGAGGGGCTGCTGCAAGTAGTGAGGCTGCTCTGAGCCGCCCGAGCATCTGGTGTTAGTACAGCCTACTGGGAAACCTGCTTTCTGCTCACCCTGTCCTCCTGCGAGAGAGGATTGTTGGAGAAACACAGTGGGCTGTAATCACAGCAAAAGCCACGGGCAGTGGGCAGCTGCTGGCAGTGGCAGGCTGCTCTCGGCATTATCTGTTTTACTGGGAAAAGCTGCTGCTGCTGCTGCTGCTCCCAGTGGGCAGGACAGGAGCTGGAAGGCAAGAATCCCTGAAAGCACTGGTCTCGCTCTTTCTGCCAGTCGCTGACAAGGGAGGCCATGAGCCCAGCTCTGGAATGGCAAAGTTGTGCTCTGCCCACGCATCTGCAGAGGTTTGAGAAGGCACTGTGTAGAAGGAGTTACATAAAGGCTTTTGTACAGCAGTGTGCACAGGTGGTTTCATCTGCAAAACTTCAGCTGCTTCCATCTGCTTCTGCCAGGAGCTTTATGCCAGGAGGGCAGCAAAATCAATCAGATCACTGAACATATCTCGTGGTCTAGTTTTAAGAATATACGGCAGAGAGTGGGGCTTGCATTAAACTCAGTTGCTTGAATCAGAATTTTATGCTCCAGGAGACAGTATAAGCCAAACAACAATTCTGTACTATATCAACCCAAAAATCTCCTCTCCAGGACAAAAACACAGAGCCACAAATAGCACAAAAAGAGCAAAATCAAAATGCAATGAAGCATGCTGCAGAAGTGCCACCTTTCCCAGGGAAACACACCAGAAGAAAAGGCTGTTCCACACCTCTTTACCCTCAATCCTTATGTTCTTTTGGGGTGGTTGGATGTTGCCACAGAGATGCTCTGATGGCTCAGGCAGAGGCAGGGAGTTGGGGCAGAGTTTTAGGGGAGTTATATGGGTGCCTTTTCCCTCTTTTCCTCAGGGCTCTACCAGCAATTTTGGAGCAAGCTTTGGTGCTGCCTGGTGGGGAGGGCAGAACTGTCAAGGCACTGTGCCATAGGGGCAGGCTGGAGCTCAAGGTGCAGGTGAAACCTCTGCCTCTGGGACTGCCCCACAGCCTTGCAGACTTAGATGCTCCTATGGTTTGTGCCATCCTGTTTAGCATCTGTTGCACAATCAAAAAGAAGAAACACTGCTTCAAACATGAGGCACCAACCAAGATCTACAATCTTGATGCTAACACTAGATATTGATGGTGTGCATTGCCACCTATCTCCCAAAATCTGCTGTGTGTGCTGTGCAGCCACAGGCTGGCAGGATAGCCTGCGTCTCCACCTATCTCCTGCATCTGGTGGGTCTGTGGCCAACATACAGCAGCCTGCAGCTGAACACTGGCATTTCAGCTTCATTTTTGGCTCTCCCCGATTGCAGACAGGGAAGTGCTAAAGGACGGTTCTGGGCACTTGCTGTTAGCCCTGATAATCCTTCATGTCTGGTTAAAATCCTTTTAACTTGCCATTAAGCCCTGAAAAGTGCTTCCTTTGAATCTCCAGTGTGTTTGCTCAGTGTGTCATTATGGTTGCATGTCTCCCAGGAGAGATCTTCCTACCTAGCAGTTGATGCAATGCCTGTGTTTGTTCCATGAATTTGTACACATATAAATCAAATTACACTTCTTACAGGACAGATTCCAATTTGTTTTCTACAGCATCTGATTAAGAGTGAAAAATCATGTTACTCCTTCCCAGATTATTAATTTTTTCTCCTGGAAGAACTATGCCTATTCTGCAGTTACCAGTTTTTATTCAGAATGCTCCAAGAGCAACTCTGTTCCCACAGAAGTGAAAGGAAACTTTGCCACTGACTTCTAAGGAATCTGAAATCAGCCCTTGGAAACATGGTTCTGTACAAATGTTGAAATGCCTTGTCTGTGAACAATGTTATTCTCATGCTAAGAAACTTACCCAGTGAGTGATGAGGTCCATGCACAAGCAGACCTGAGGAGCCCTGAGAGCACCAGGGATACATCACCAGGATGAGGGGGTTTGAGCTCTCCTGGCTCATGTCCTTCAGATCCCCACACAAACCCTGTTAGTCAAGCTCAGCGTAGAGATCTTGTCCTGAAGCACTGGCTTTCCCCAGCCACCAAAGGCTCAGCTAAGACTCCCAGAGGCCAGTGACAAAGCTTCTGTTGGTTTTAAAAAAGAATAGTTGCTTTATGCACTACTCCTCCTTTCCTAAAATATATATTTTTGGGGGATTAAGTAAAATTGGAAGGTATTAGTAATCAAAGACAAACTGGTTGCAGTTAGTCAGATTAAAACTTCCACTGCACTTGATTAAATATCAGCCTGTCAGATCGCTGTGGGGTCTGAAGACATGAGATAGCATGTCAAAAGGAAATGTTTTTTCATTTTGTGATTCCAACAGTCCATCCACATTGCTTTCTTTTTATTCGAAAGAGAAGACAGATAGCATGACAGCATGTTGTGAAATCAATTAATAAAAGAGTAATAAATGGATTCTACTGAAGCTGCCAAAACAT